TGGAGTTCACACAAGTTTTGCTTCTTTGGCGAATACCTGGCTAAAGCTCTAACGAGTTGTGTCGAAAGATCAAGTGCTTTGATAAAAAAAGCTTTGATAAAACATTTTAATATGAAGCCAAATGACATAGCGATTGATCACGAAGAAATCATGGTTAATTTTGGTGACTTCACTTTATACCAGAACCCCTATTAAAGAAGTAACGTCGTACGTGGAAGAAAAGCTCACTACGGATACGGGTTAAGTAATCGCACGAAGATGAATTAGCAAAAGATTCTAAGCTAAATACAGCAGAGAGAGATACTGAAAAAATGTACTAGCAAGAGATATTGAGAAAAATTTTGTATGCATAACACCTGGTTCACTTTCGAAGCAGAACAATGCATGCAAAAAGAAGGTAAACCGATGGGTTTCTCGAGCTCTACTATCATCGCTAGCATTTTCATGGAAAAGTTTCATAAGGAGACTAACAACAGCTTTCACGCGCTCCTAAGGGTCTTGCTGAGATACGTTGACGACACATCTTTATCATTGAAAACAATGATATGATCAACCAGCGTTCTTACAATATCTAAACACCGTATATCAATCGATCCGGTTCCCGATAGAAGTCGAAGAAGAGATCGATCTCGTTTTCGGACTACAAAGAAAAACAGGGAGAACGATGGATCACAAAAAACCTGTCTAGAGTAAGCCAATTCACACGAAACGCTCTCTCTGCTGTTCAGCTGCGATCATCCGACACGCAAGAAATTAGATGGAGCCAGAAATTTATTCGATCGAGCCGTGTGACTAACGTCCAACTACCCAACAGAATTTTAATATGAAACCCATTACGTGAAAAAATTCTACAGACGAGTATCCGCATTGGTTCATTAAAGGAGCAATAAGGAACCGGAACAACATCGCAAGTCAATCGCGAACTCGCAATCTCTCTCCGACACTGACCGTTTGCACTCCCTTTGTTCTGTCGTTTCAGCGTCAATTAGATCTGCGCTGGAAAAGATAGACATCAGGACCATTTTCAAATCAAACGGACAAAATAACGAATGAAGGAAAGACCGATATAATTTAATCAACAAATTGTTCAAATTGCTAGTTATCACACATTAATCAAGCTGCGAGACAACAGCGAACTAAGATGTTAGAACATAAGAGCAACGTCCGCCATGAAGAACATGAAAAAAGCGACGCAGAGGCTTAGAAATAGGCTCGGTAGATACCCCTCACCGCGTTTCCATCGGACTAACGGCGATTTTAACTGCCCAACCATAGTAACAACGGTTGGGAGTAAAATCCAGACAAGATTCAACATCATGAACATCGATGAAGGAGTTTATATCTTTCTCTTTCCTTATCGGGGTAACTTGTGTGAACTTTGGACAAAGTGGAAAAAGTCAATTGTAAATACATCTCGACTACGTCAATTGTCTTAGATTGTTTGCAGTTAAAAAGGGCTAGTAACTTCAGCCAAAACCTTGCTCCTGCACCAATAACGTTTGTGCTGCATGGAAACTAGAATAAACTACTGTCTTACTCATTAATCAATCATCACTGTCAAGTGTCTATGCACATTTCGCAAGTCTATGATAATCTTTTTGACAGAAGATATCGAGCATAGGAATTCGCAACATTTTATCAAGGCACTAATTACCGAGAGAGCTAGGTAGTCAAACCCGTGCAGAAAAATTACTTTCTATCGCAGCTAGTGCGAAGCTGATCGTAGACTGACATCATATATACATAGATCATATACACACTTTAAATACCGTTACTGTAGTCTTACTGTTATTGTAGTCTTACCGTTATTGTAGTCAGCAACTATTTCTCAGCCAGTCTGTTAAAAATATACTTTAAGATCATAGCCATTTCAAAAACATGTGCAGAGCTGGTTGCTAAAACTTTAAACTGGTCGAATATTTTCTTCAAAATTGAGTTTTAACTTAGAATTTGTTTCGAATTTTCTTAACGAATGAATAATGAGATAAAGTGTAATGACTAAAGTCTACACACTGAAGAAGAATTCAATAAAGCATATTTTTTACATATTTCCATAAAGCTCTGTCGCACCAAACCTTTCACACAAATTGTTTTCTTAGTCAATTTTCATGATATAATTCCTTTTTAGCATATGCGCCTAAAATCTTTCAGGACACTAAGAACAACAGAAGTCTATGAAAATTTGGAACTGGAAGAGGCGGCCCGTGATGGAGACGAAAATGAAGAGTGGGCCTGTGAGTCAGATTCTACGACCATCGAGGAGTATGATCCTGATGTGGGATACCCAATGGATAGACAGATTGTTACTCAAACAATTCTTATACGGCATCCGCGTTCTATATTGGCCTGCGCCATTATTCAGCTGTGCATTGGACTGCAGATAGTTGTTTTTGGCATTGTTTGCCACTTCTACGATGGTTGCAGGTACATGAGCAGCTTGTGGATGGGTACAATATTCCTGACGAGTGCTATTTGTGGCATTGTATTAATCAAAAGCTGTCCAAAGCGAAACTGGCTGATTTTTTACTTTTGCTCGACATTACTCTCCCTATTGCTCAGTATCATACTCTTTGGAATTACAGCTTGGCAACTGGATAAACAAGAACAGCTCATTAGAGAACAAGGATGGAATTACTTGAACCAGCAACTGCTGCAGGCCAATCAAATCATGGAGAATACTAAATTGGCTATGTATACCCTTCACCTCCTATTTATTCCCGGACATGGTAATTAACATGGTAGATTTTGTTCGTGAATGTTTTCATTTCTTTAGAATTTACTTGAAGTTTCTTGATGAATAGTAAGGATATCTACATGTAAAACCACAATGATAGTGACACACAGTACTCCAGAAATATTGTCACTGCATCGGAGCATCACCTATAGAATAAATGGAAGTAGAATCGTTATTTGTAATTGGGGCGAAATCGTGAGTAGCTCGGAATATTCACACTGTGATTTGTTTTTCTTACATGTTCATCAACGCAGTCTTCAATTTCCTTTTACTTATAAGAATATTTCAGTCTTCACACATTCAGTTACAGTCTTAAGACGATCATAGTTTTCTGTACTAACTTGAAAATTTATGATCATTACACACGTTTTACCGCAATAACAGCACATGGCCATGCTTCTATGTCAGTATGCCACAGTTCAGGACGTTGCTTTCTTAATTTTTTACGTTTATTTAAAGTTATCTTTGTCAAATATATAGAGGCACTATGCGGCATATGATATGATATTCGTTAAGACGCCCTCATACTGCCTTTCTTTTGAATGATGGCGTATTCGAACATGAACTCAAAAATAATTCATTGAACATAAGAAGCCATTCAGAAAACTTCTGAATATTCGTAAAATTTTCAGCGCTCTGTGCCATGGTTTCTTTAATCCTCAGCGGCTACAACTTAGCAACTGCAAAGCAAGAGGAACGTGAAGCATTTTTTTTATCGAAAGATAGAAAATACCAGGTAAGAGATTCTCATTGCTTTTGCATATAATGAAGTTGGTGATTTCAGACCGTTTTAGTTCCTATGTCCCTCAGAAGTGGAACTAAACTGAAAATGCAACTGGATCCAGAGTACGCAAAATACTTGATAAAAAAGAAATCAAAAAAGACCCAAACCACCGCCAGAATGCGATTGCTACCGGATTTGGACTATAGCAGGAGCAGTTGAACAGTATGGAATTACGAAGGGGAAAATACTTCTTTTCTATTAGAATCATTTTTACTTTGCAGTTTATTGTTTTTACATCTTCGTGATTAAGTGCACAGATCAATCTACAAAATTTTCAAAATGCATATTTAACGTATGGAAAAGTAGTAGCGTGATGGGTTGCAATAAAAATGAAATTTTGAAACGTGTCTACGAAATTGTCATTTCTCGTTTTCAAAAATCAACTTTAAAAAATCATCTCTTCTAGTATGTAGCAAGGTGAAACAGTGGTTGAAAAATGGCATTATTATTGATATGCGCTTCCATCAGCGTCTGTTTCTCAATCTGTTACTTTCTTTTTTTCATTGAAGTCCATGGTAATTTATGGGAAGAAACATGTATGGAGTCTAGATGGTTTTTCAAGGCATCTTTTTTCATCTCATCACACCGCATTGTGAGCAATGGCGGATAGCTTTGCTAGAACAGAAACCAGAAATAGTTTTAATAAATTGATCTGGCATTCATTGTCAACAACGATAAGTAGGAGACGAAAGCCGTTCTAATAGACTTTTGGGAGTGCGCGAAAATATGGATCCCGAGAGCTGTTGATAACGATGTTGAAGATAAAAATTTTCTTCTCGATTGTGTCGATGCTTGTGCCCCTGTTTCTAACTGAAAAACTGGTTGGTCACACTGCTCACCTTTCCAAAGGAAACACGCTATCCTTTCGTAACGAAGCTACGCATAACAATAAAAGTCTCTGACCACTTAAACATACGTCGATTTAAATACGTCCATCGTATGCAAAGAAGAAAGACCGCCTCCCTCCGACTACATCTTCGGAAGGGAAAAAGAAAATCACCCCTACACTCATAACAGTTAAGAGATTTTTACGATCAGCTGGTGTAGGCACTTTTTTTGTGGCGCAGGAATCTCTGCTTGATAACGACTGCAGAAATTCATCTTCGAAGCTAATACAAATTTGAGTATCTTGTACCGACGACTTCTGTCATATCATAGCACGAACCCGCACAAAATAAGTTCAGCGCCCAAGCGGAAGGAGAATAGCTCAACCATACTTTGCTTATTCGGCAGATAGTGTGCAACTAATAGGTGTCAGATCATTACCGAATATGCTCGGAATTCAACGGCGGCCACGCTCTTGTCAGTGCGTTTAAAATCATAATTAACCTGCTTTGATCCATTGCTGGACGAAAGCCCTTCTAAATAAATTAAAGATATGAATTTATCTCCTCTCTTTTCTCAATGCAAATGGCTTTGGACGTGATATAACATTTTCCTTCCTTTTATTCCGACGTTTCGGTTAACGGCAGCGTTATTGTCATTAGAAAAATTTTTACAGCACAAGGATACAGAATTTCACCCTAAATCTGTTTGCATAGAGAAAGTAACGAAACTTATAACATTTGCGAGTATTGAAAATTGACACTCCGAAAATATCAGCTTATTTCCATGAATATTTGCGCGGTTTAACTTCAAACTGGTACTTCATTTCCGTTGAAAAGTATATTGGCAGTAGCAAACTTTTCCTGTCAGTTTTTTAATAGAGTCTATCTACCGTCTAGACATAGCTAATTTTCACAGTTCAAGATATTCTGATACTTGCCACCAAAGAGTAATATTCGAATAATTAATCTAGTAACTGAACCTTAGTAAAGCATGATTAAATTTGCTTCAGCGCAGAATCAGATAGCTTACTTTACAAAAAATAAAATTGTAATATAAAAATTTAGTCTTAATCAATTCTTCTGTTAGAAGTAACGATCGATTTTCCAACATGTGCAAAGTCTTTGTTTAAAATTGTACAGTACCCAAATGAAACTTTGATATAAGCTGCTTAACGCGGCAGAACTAGCGAATGACAGGACGAATTTGAAATTTCGCTGCGCCAATACGATTGTGTGCGTTGTCCGGTGTTTTGCTACTTGTGGAAGTTTGTTTTGAAATTACTTACCGTCACTTAACGTTTATAATCTGATGATGGCTGACCGCGGAAATAAGGAAAATCTGCAAAAAGAGGTTCCTGACATTATAACAGACGAAAAGACCGGCAAACGATATCTCAGGGGTAAATTCTTGGGCAAGGTATGGTTTCAGATGGTTTTTATCGATTTTTTTCGCCATACGTTTTGTATGTGCAGGGGGGTTTCGCACGTTGTTATGAGTTGAAAGATTTGGATACGTCTGAGGTGTTCGCTGGAAAGGTGGTTGCCAAAGCGCTGCTGACCAAGAAACATCAGAAGGACAAGGTATGACGATAAACATTTGCGTAGGTTTGTTTGTTAAACTTGCCTTTCATGTTCCTGTTGAAGATGTCGCAAGAAATTGCCATTCATCGAAGCCTTTCCCACAAACATGTCGTGGCTTTTTACAGATATTTTGATGACGCTGACAACGTCTACATTTTGCTCGAAATCTGCCGTCGTCGGGTATTGTGTATTTTGCAGATGTTTTGTAGATATTTTTGTCTTTTCGTTGAGTTCAGTCGCTTATGGAACTTCACAAAAGGCGCCATGCTATAACGGAGCCGGAAACCAGGTACTTCATGAGGCAACTGATCGAAGCTTGCATTTATCTGCATGAAAACTATGTTATTCACCGCGATCTGAAGCTTGGAAACCTTTTCTTGAACGACGACATGGATTTGAAAGTCGGCGATTTCGGGTTGGCTACGAAACTAGATTACGAAGGAGAGAGGAAAAAGTAATCTTAGACGATTATAGCAATAACATGATTTATGCATGTTTAACTGAATAGTCGTTAATTTCGACAGGATGCCCTTACATATTTATAAGCGATAAAACAGATATTGAATACTGGAATATAGATACATAACTCTTTCCCGCCTTTAGCTGTTATATTTTTTATGTGACTAATTTTATCTTTGAGTTTGTCTTGTGTAACATTTGCGTTTCATTGTAAAAAATAAGTCATGGATAACCCTCCAATTTTCGAATTTGCAACTTGCATTCTGTTTCCTAAAATTCCCATAGTTTACTACTATTAAAATACATCACCTGATAAATATTTTACGGAATTACTCCGCGTATAAAATTTATATTTATATAAAATTACCGCATAAGCGAATCCACCGTGTTTACTATTATTAAAGTACTTATTTAAACATGTAAGATTTTTCTAACTTTGTCATGCATTTACTAGTTATGACCTTGTGATGATTAGATGAAACGTTACTCATCAAAACAGTCTTTCTTCTGACCTTCGTTATAAATTTCATTCATTTTACTATCTTGAGCCAGTTGATATATTGTTCTCCTGTCGCTAACCATCAAGACAATTGTTACTGTAGGGTAAACCGCGGATAAAGAATTTATTTGCTGAAATGGTAAACATGATTCAAAGTTTCAACATTGTAAATATAATTTTTATTCGTAGTGCACCTGTCTTTGTCTTCTCTAACGATCTCTAATCCTATCAAAGGATATGCTGTAGCATAATCATAGTTGTCATTCGCACGTAGTATTTAATTGCAAGAGATTTTTAGCTCAAGGTACAATTATTCTGTTTAGCTAAACACGATACCTCTGTGACGAAGGTCAAATGCAAAAATCAAGGCGAAAGCATTTACTTACTATTATTTAAAGTCAGCACGTATTAAGAAAATTCATGATTTTCCAGTTCAGTGTGCAACAGCTGCCCTTAACACCCACACAAACTTTATTTACTGAAACTAAAATAGCTCTGATAAACATTGATGAATACTGATTGACTGAAAATGGCAGTTTGTTTATAATTTTTCTTTTGTCACGAAAAAACGTGAAATAGCAGTTAAAGAGTTTTATGACGGAATAGTTTATTGTAATTTGTTTTCTCTTATGATATGTACTTTTGATTCGATCAGATTGTATTTCAAAGTGTACTCTAAACTTGTGTCCTGTTAGAACAGTTGGTTTTTATACTTTGGGGCATTTTACACTTCTGTTTTTCGTTGTTCCTTTGATTTTTAGCACATTTTTTATTTCAGTAGAACTGTACCATCTGTTATCAACTCTAAACAGTATCATTTGTTTAGCAATTTAAGTATAAGTGAAGAATTCACGCACAAAGTGTTGTAGCTGTGGTGTGTAGTGATAAGCATATAAGAAAACTTTCCTTTCCTTTTTTTATTCAAGCATACGCGAAATACCGCTAATATTATCAGCTAAACCATTTGTTCCACATAAGCAAAAACAAATATTAATTGGCTCAGAATGTTCAGTTGATTGTTTGTTT